TGTCATTGAATTTATTAATTAAGACATTTAAAATGTTTTTAAAATATACATTTTTAATATTCATCACATATTTCTCAAATTTCATACTATTATCAAAAGGTATTTATAAAGAATTATATAAATAATTCAGAATACGATTAATAGTGTTATGAAATTGTATTTTTAGGACAGTATGATCAGTGTTTGAGTGCCAAGACTTGTGGGGAATGCATATCGGAGTCAAAGGATTGTTTTTGGTGCGAAGACGACACCTTTAGCCACCCATTCAGATGTAATGGCGAACATAAGCTCCGGTCTCATGACTGCAGCGAAAATAAGATCATTGGACCGCAAATGAATGTCCAGACAATACTGGATAAAGAGTTTAATAAAAATTTTGGTTCAATAGTTCAACTGAAGCCTCAGAAACATAAGCTCTTTATGAGAAATAATTCCTCGTGGAGAATACCGATCCATTTCCGACAGGCAGATGACTACCCCATGGATCTCTACTATCTGATGGACCTGTCGTGCACTATGAAGAAGTTTAAGACCAATTTGGCGAATGTTGGCAAGACTTTGGCCGACAAAATGAATCAAACCACTAAAGACTTTAAAATAGGCTTTGGATCATTTGTAGACAAACCTGTTATGCCCTTCTCGTCCTACAAACTGGAGTGAGTTTTGAAAAAAGTTATCAATTTGTACGCAACTTATTAATTTGAGTGTTTTGTTTGTGGTGTTCAGTCGCATATCATGCAGTTTGGGAAAGGATGACCATAACGTCTGGGGGGAACCGACTTATAGTTTCTCCCATAAGCTGACCCTCGACTCGAAAGACTCGCTGTTTGTGTCGAGTGTGAGGGACGCGGCGACGTCCGGTAATACGGATTCACCCGAAGGCACGTTAGACGCACTCATGCAGGTGTTGGTCTGTAAGGAGGAGATTGGGTGGAGGAATCAGTCCGACAAGATTATTGTGGTCGCCACCGATGAGGAGTTCCATTACGCCGGAGATGGAAAGGTATGTAAATTAAAATAGCATTTATCAAATAAGTTAATTCATAATTTATGATCAGTTGAGCGGTATATTAGTGCCAAACGATGGCAAGTGTCATATGTCTGGCAAGAACTACACTCATTACCATTTGCTGGACTACCCGTCAATGCATCAAATCGCTGAGAAAGTGCGACAAAACAAATTCAATATTGTATTTACGGTCACCGATAAAGTGCGGCACATATACGAAACGCTGGCCAGCATTATAGGGTCGACGGCACGGGTGGATAGGCTTAACGATGGAGACAGCACCACTATTGTGCGACTCATTGAAGATGTTTACAGAGATATTCGGTCGTCGGTTGAACTGAGAGTCGAACGGATGTCTGATTTCATCGAAATTGATTTGTACTCAAAGTGTGCAAATGAGACCGAAATGAAGACCAATAATTGTACGTTTACGGGACGGCCGGACATCACATTCTTCGCAGACATCAGAGTGAAGTCATGTCCTGCAGACAGATCTCTTTGGGAGCAGACGATTAAAATCGGTATTTCATTGAGAGTTCAATTTTAATAGATGTGGCATTAGTTTGGATATTATTTTAAAAGGCTTAACGAATATCAACGAAGGCGTGGAAATCGATTTACAAATGCTATGTGAATGCGAGTGCGAAAAACCCAACAAAATAGTGAAAAACTCTGCCGAGTGCCACAACGCCGGCACCTTTGCCTGTGGTATATGTGCCGCTTGTAATGGCAACCGGACGGGCGCGCAGTGCGAATGCGATCCCGAAAAACCTATTGATCCTAAAGACCCTGAAGCTCATTGCAAACATAAGGGTAAGAGATAATTATAAATAAACCATTTGGTGATCTAATTGTGTGATTATATGAGCAGACATATTCAAGACATGTAGTGGTCGTGGGAGGTGTGAGTGTGGAAAGTGTAGCTGCGATTCCGGCTTTTCCGGCGACTACTGTCAGTACGACGACTCCAACTGTCATCCCGACAACGATAAGAACCTTAAGATATGCAACGGGAACGGCAGGTGTATTGAAGCCAAGTGTAACTGTACTAAAGGTACGAAAGGTTATACAGGAAAATACTGCGACTGTCCCACAGACCCGAGTTGGTGTAGTCAAACAGTTAATCAAACAGTTAATGGACAGCAAAAGGAAATTAATTTAGTAAGTGAGAAATAATAATAATGAATTTAGCATAAATATAAATTTATCTATATATGCGGCACAGGTTTGTTCAGGTGCTGGTGAGTGTAATTGTGGTGTCTGTAAGTGCAACAATAGTTCAATAACCGGCAAATTCTGTGAGATATGTCCGCGTTGTGATAGTTGGAAATATTGTGACCTAATGTTGAAATGTGTGCCCAAAATATGCGAACTCTATGGAAGTAATTGCACCGATAGTTGCGATCAGATGCAGTATGAATTGGTGGACAAATTGGTCGAGGTCAACAACACCGACGGCTTATACACAACTCTACACCAGTGCCGCAACCGTACCATTAATAACGAGTGCGACCTATCATTCACTTACGAGCGCACTGACTATGACTATGAGACCAAAAGGCTTCCGACGTTTAAGATAACAAAATTAGATAAGAGTTGCGCCGAAAAAGTGAATTTAGTGGTCGTGTCGTCCAGTGTTTTCATCNGTATGAAACGACTGTCCCGTCTGACTGAGAGGTTTTCGCGGAGGTTTGACGTCAATAAATAAATATTGAGTTTTAAATGTATAATTGGGATTAAATGCAATGAGTTTTACATTTATGTTGTATAATTGTATGATTAGTAAAGTTACCTGTTTTGAATGAATTGAAAATAAGATATAAGAATAGTATATGTTTTGCAGAATTGTTTAAAAACCAATTAACTTCTCAAAGAAAGAATTGTATGTAAATTAAGTATTATATAACTTAAATTAAAATTCATTAAAAATATTTTGTTGACTTATTTTGTGACATAAAAATGCTATAATTGTTAACAAATGGCTAATTGTTGCTTAAATAAGCATAGAGTGAAAGATCGGACAGTTGTGGCAATCAGTGAGTGGACCGGCGCTCGACCACAATCACCACTAAAGCATAGGATATGACCATTAATTACCAGGAATGGGATCAACAGATCAACAACTCTGTCGAAACAGAGGGTGTCAATGAGAAACTCTACGCTCACATGAAGAGCGAACTGAAGGACAGACCCTCTTCACCGGAAGTGTTGTGGCGAATGACCAAAGTATGTCTTATACTAAGCGTTAACGTCGAGGACAAGAACCGGCAGAAGGAGTTGGCGTATGAGGCGCTCGCCAACGGCAAGAAGTCGTGCGAAATGGATCCCAAGTGTGTGTCGTGTCATAAGTGGTATTGTGTAGCACTCGGACGAATCACCAAATTCTGTGGCGTTAAGGATAAGATCAAGTTTGGCCACCAATTCAAACAGCACTTAGACGTAGCGCTCGGTCTCGAGGCCAACGACTTCCTCTTGCACTTCATGTCCGGCCGATTCGCTTACGAGTTGTCGTCGCTGTCGTGGATCGAGAGGACGATCGCCACCACTCTGTTTGGGTCCGTACCTGAGTCCAGCTATGATATCGCTCTCAAAGAGTTTTTTATTTGCGATAATTTAAAGCCAGAGTGGAAAGACAACTATTTATGGATTTCTAAGACATTGATTGCTATGAAGGATAAGACGAAAGCTAAGGATTGGGTGAATAGAGGGCTGGCGTTGGACACGAAGGACAGAATGGATGAAATGTCTCACAACGGGTTAACCAAACTTCAAAATTATCATAAATTATGATATTTTATTGCTTTTCAATATAATGAGTCTATTTTCAATTTATGTCTCTATATATACATACATACTACATATATACATACAGTAGTAGAATATTCTGGTGAAAGTTTCTATAAAAAAGTATTTTAGTTTATTTATGAAATGTTGAAAATGTATTGAAAAGTGAGTTACAAATTGTGTTACACTCGAGAGTCTCGAGTCGAGAGATACTTGTTTTGCAGTCATTTGTGTGGATTGTGTTTTGCTGTCAATTGAGCGCACATTTGATAATCATTTTAATCTGTTTAACGGATCCTCGACTGAGAGAATCATTGAATCAATGGATCGACGGCACAATCATTATTACATTCAATACAGTATTCAATGCATTCATTTAATAATACATTGGGTTTTGAAATGAATTTTAAAACTTTTGAAAACTTTTTGAACAATATTTGGGAAATTTTGGCGAATTTTCTTTGGGGCGCGAAATCAAACTCTTTTCACACGATTTCAAAATCTTCTTCCAGTTATCTCTGAATATCACCACAAATGACATCCAAGACATCGCCGAAAGTCGACTCATGTGCTCGTATGGTGTGCGCCCCGCCTCCGGAGTCACATGAGTCGCCCCCGGAAACCCTGCTCGACCAGGGGGTGGAAGGGGTAGGAGAGGTCACCACCAGACCATCGGTGGTGTTACCGATGACCCTAAACACCAGTCCAATCACTGGAACCACTGGTCGATCTGACTCCTCGTCACAAAAGAGGCGACCGTTGGGGTCGGCCTTCCAGGACGCCAACGGATCCGACACTCGCGCCACCCGTAGAGGCGATGGTAAATGCCGTCTATGGACTCGCTGTGAGACTACTGTCCACTCCATCGGACAGTTCTGGAGGAATAGGAATAACAAGAAAGAGTGCCAACGAGTCGCACGAGTATTGAGTGGACAGACAACCAAATCAACGATCAAAGGGTTCGGACAGATATCAGGCGTTACCGTCCAGTCTTCGGATGGTTTAGTCACTCATCAGCCCATCCCTGACAGCACTCGTAAGACAACATGTTTTACAGGACTTAAGACACGGCTTAAGACTTGTGGGCAAAGAATTGGTCGACTCTTCGACAAACATGACGACGGAGTGGAACCGATCGCACCTCCAGATGGAGGACTTCCAGAAGTCGAATCCACAGAAACAGTGGAACCGATCGCACAGTCAGGTGAAGAATTTCCAACAATGTCTGACACCGATGTCCATCAGCACTCGTGTTGGACAGGTGTTAGGTTTGGTGTCAAACGGATGACTCGACTCTTCCGGAAGCGTTCTAACTCTGTCTTCGATGGTAACAAAGACGTCGTCGACAACTCGACTCAAATGCAGGACTTAGACAAAGAACTCTTCCCATTCTTTGAGCGAATGGTATACTTCTCGAGCGATATGTCTCGAAAGGGTCGTTAGGAGTAGTTATGGCCGGTCGTAGGGGTCACCGAAGACTGTCCCTTAAGTTGTGTCAACCAAATGGTATGAAAAGCATTAAACGCGAAGAGATGTTTGCGAAGCACTTCCGACACAAGAATGTCATCCCATATATACCTCTGAAGACGACTAAACATGGAATAGTGGCCATGGATTTGGCGGACAGTGATCTCTGGGATTACATGGGATTGTTGGCCAACGAGTCGCAAATGATGTCTTTTCAGAGGATTAAGTCTCTGTTTCGGGACATCTGTCGCGGTGTCCGTCACATCCACTCCAAACACTTCGCTCATAAGGACCTCAAACCACACAATATATTGATTGTGAGCGACAATAGCACCGGTAGTCTCAGAGCTAAAGTATGTGTCTTTGACTGGACTCGAAGGTCGCACTACAAGTCTACAGGACTTGCCATTCCTCTGAGTTTCCCATTATTCATAGGGACCTGTGATTACATGTCAGTGGTTTGGGTGTTGGGAGTCTGTGGCAGTCCGACTGACCCGGGAGTGGAGGCGCACAGGGAATGACTGGCCAGGCAGTCGTCAACGGATTTGTTTTATGACAAAAATTGTAATAAAAACTTTGCATTCAAATAATATATTCATTTATTATTAGATAATAATTATATTATATTCAATAGAAATGAATACAAAAACTCAGCAAAAAGCGATACAAAATAATTGAATCGATAATAAAAAATTATACAATCATTTCATAAAATACAAAACTATAACATATGAAAGTAGATTAATTAAATTATTGGTATAAAATGTATACTATAAATGATTATATTTAAAATATTCAACTGATTGTTTATCATAAATTATATTTATAAGTTAAGTCCTTAATTCACATGTTTGTAAAATCAGTTAATTTGTGAAATCTATACATAAATATGATGCAAATATAGTAGAATAGGAATTACAGATACTGTATGTAACAGTGATTTATTTGTTCAGACATTTTTTTGAAAAATATTACAATTCTCATAATAATAAAACTTTTAATAATTATTGTTTTTATTATTTGTTACCATTTGCAAACTTAATACTGTATCAAGTTTACACATATGTTGTAAAGCATATTATTTAATCCTTAAATACAATATCAGTAGATATGATGTCATAGAGAATTGACTTGAATACGAATTTGCGAGAAAATATATGATCAACTGTTGTAAGCCTTATACAGTATTCAGTGATAATTTGAAGATAAATAATAATTTGGAAAGTTGTGCAATTGTTATGTAATATTATAGTAAAAGTTTCTATTGAAATAGCAAAAACTATCTTGGTATTTGTTATATCTGTTTACAAATATTATTGTGATATTGAATTTTTGCATAAAATGACAGAAAATCTTTTGTATAGTAAATGCAATGGTGTGATGTTAGATAACACCTACACTATTAATACAGCAGATGATGACTACATTATAAATTTATTATTATATACAATATATAACGTGGTTATGATTTTTATATAAATTGTACCAAAAATAAACTACTTTATATTTTATAGACTTATTTAATTTTAAATAAATTGTTTCATAAATTATATAAATAAATTTATTAGTAGCTATGTGATATTATAATATATCAACTATAATAATATATTTATAACATAGTTATGTAAATTATAAGTTATGTATAACATAGAATAATTGATACAGGTTTGAAATATAAATTCATTACGCGTAACATTTACACCATTAGAGCATTACATGGTTTTTAATGTAGTGATAGGCGTATTCAAAAGGACATTGAATTGAAAGCAAACAGGACATCTAATTGAACAGATATTAAAACATGCAATAAATCATTTAAATATCAAATCCTAACTCTAATTACACTTTACGACTACCTGTGCTCTTTGTTACGACATTGCATTGGATAATAAGGCTCACAAATAATGTAATTTATATTTCAATATCAATTCTCTAGTTATTCTGTGCCTCGAAGGCCTCCCTTTCCACTGTTTGTGCTATTCTTTGCATTCAATGTACAGCATATCAGTGTTTTCACTGATTATTCAATATTGAATCGAGAAATGATTTCTGATACCGAAAATGAAAGCAAATTTTTGGGAATCTCAATGGGAAAACTCACTAACGGTATGTTTTGTAGCAAATTTATATACAAATTAAAATTTTATATTAAGTGTAAGTGCTAAAATTAAATTATTTTTAAAAATTTGGAATAATTAATTAAAAAGTTATTTAGTTATTAGTTGATATGATATATTCATATTAATATAGCATTTTGTCTACTTAATAAGTCAGTGTTACAAAATTATGATACAACATAATTACATCAGAATGTGATTCAATTTTGAAAGTTTATGAATTGTTTACGAAAAATCTTAATCTTTGATATGACATCCTATCATAAATTATTTGTTCAAACAATGTGAGAATTAAATTATTACTTAATATTCTGGAATTTATTACAAGTAAAACATTTTC